GAACTTAGGGCTAAGTTCCTTGACAGTTTTTATTCTTCTGTTCGCCTTCTGGAATAGTTTTTTATTCGTCTGTTCATCTTCTGGATTGCCATCTGGGGCAGTTTTCATTCATATGGTCGTTTTTTGGAGCGCCTTCTGATACTTTTTCGGGGGTACTTACTTGATCTGCAGCCAGCTTCTCTTTGGACAAGGATTATCAACGCAAATTTGGATTCTTTGGTGACGTTGGATAATGCCTGGGTCAAGAAAGGGACGTGGCACCATGGAAGCAGACGATGCTAAGTTGCCTGTTAATTGTAATGATATGTATGATGCTCAGCATGTTAAGTTTGGTGTTCATGCCTCACCGTTAAGTGACAGTAAGGGTTTAAGACTGCCTAAGTTTGAACCACGATACTTCGATGGAAACCCAGCCGACTACCCACAGTTCATTAAAGAGTTTGAGGTCATGCTGAGTGGTTTTGTATTGAATGATGAAATGAAGTTAATGTATTTGTTGAGATATTGCACTGGTGTAGCTGCAAGAGCCATACAGTGCTGTAAGTTTATGCCCCCAAACGAAGGATATGATGAGGCCATGAAGATACTCCGGCAGAGGTTTGGGAAACCATTTATGATATCCCGTAGTATTTTCGAGACAGTGAAAGGTAACGGATCCCAGTTAAACGATAATGCAGAGGAACTTGCAGAGTTCTTGGATAATTTGATGGTATATAGAAATACACTCATGTCTTTTAACTGCGTAGATGAATTGAACTCAAGTTCCGTGCTTGAGACTGTTGCCAAGAGATTACCTGTTCGTCTACAAAGGAAGTTTATAAAGTTTGGTTCACGTCTAGAGGAGGAGGGTTTAGAGCCCAGGTTGGATGACCTTGTGAGCCTGGTGAAAGACAGTGTCAACCAAGCTTTGAGCAAGTTCGCTAGCATACTCCATCCCTCCCCTGGAATAGAGAAATCAGAGAGTAAAATGCAATCATTTATGACGAAGGGGTCTCAGCGTAGTGGATATCGAGAAAACGGTATGGTGTCTAGTAAACCTAATGATTGTGACAGCTTTAGTTGGACGTCCCCAACGGATAAGTTACAAGTTGCAAGAAAAACACGATTGTGCTTCGTCCGTTTGCAAGAAGTGCATACAAAGGCGAACTGTGAAGCAACTAACAAGTTTTGTGGTAAGCTAAATGTGAAGTCAGCGTCATCGTGTTCTGACTCCGAATCGTGTATCGATAATGTTGCGGTGAAGAAGCCTGTAGTCGTAACTGGTAGTCCATTGTTGAAAAAAGTGTCTCAGACGACACCGCAGTTTGTGCATAAGAAGAGGGTTACAGTTTCAGTGTCCAGTTCTGACTCCACAAGTTTACAAGGTATTGCTAGTCAGAGTAAAGGAATAAAACCTTTAAAGATTCATGAGGAAGAACCTGAGTCATCTACGGCTGTTATTAAACAGTTTGAAAATGATGAAATCGATCATACAAACGGCGGTAAATTGGATATTTGTGACAGTGGTCATGATAGTGCACATTTTTCTGTGGCTGATCATGATGAGATTAGTGGAATGCCTACTACTACTGAGTTGACTAAAGGTTCTGTACAGCTTGAACGTGAAGCAGAATTAAAGGCAGATGCGGTTGCAGAAGGTATGGATACTTGTGAAAAAATCGGTGTAAATGATCAGCGTGTAGCCCAACTATCGACAGATGTTAAAGCTGAACTGGAGCTTATAATAAAAGATAGCAGTGGGGGTAATCCTGCGGTTAGACAACCTCCTAAAGGTCTAACAACAACAGCTTCTGATACACCGCTAAGTTCATCAACTGGTGTCAACCAGTCGTCGTTGGTGTTGTCATATGCAGTAAAAGAGTTGTCCATGAACCCATGTGTCTTATGCAGTGATTATGCTTGTGTCGGTCCGTTCGAAGGGACGATAGTCAATGGCCAGTTTAGTGACGATAAACAAACTGTGTACAAGAGGATAATTGTTAGACTGACTTGCACCAATAAAGGTATTTCAGGTTTCAAGCTACTATTTGAATGTTATTATCTTTGGTGCAAATTACTCTGTACCTTCGCTGGGTTGGTCAGATATGTAGTATGTTTGTTAGTCATCTGCATTTCACGATATAATGTCATGGGCGTGTTGCCATTCAGAGTTGAGGATATAGGTGATGGAAGGAGGTCAGTAAATGAACTCAGCGACGATTTTCCAACTTAAGGGCGTAAACCTGAGTAGGGTTGTAGGCGTACTGCTGTAAGTCCTACAATTCTTCAAGGGTAGTACGTCGAAGAGCAGTCCATCGTACTTGGTGTATTATTTTGTACATATGTTCATGTTGCATATACTCGATTGGTATCATCACTCTTCTATCTGTTGATTAATTTTGTTTGTGTCCGGATGTCTTCCCTTTGGATCGTCAACCTGAGAAGGAACGTAGACGTACTGCTGTAAGTCCTACAGTTCTTCAAGGGTAGCTCGTCAAGGCAAAATCCGCAATATTTGATGTATTGATTGTACATATGTTTGTGTTGAGTAATTGAGTGGGTTCCGATTCATCTGATTGTCGGTTAATTTTATAGTTGTCGCGTTGTGTGAATCATCTTGTAATGTTTTTGTAAGTACTTCTGAATTCGCTTCTAAACTTGTGAACGAAACGAGTAGTGTTACAGTCAGCGTACGCAACTGGATACGCCGGGGAGAGGATTGGGCTAGAGTGGAATGAAGCAATCGATACTTTGTGAACGAGATCAGTGGTGGTACTGTCGTCAGAGAGCGTAGATCCCATGCGCCGGGGAGAGCGTGTCGGTGTGATGTGGTATGTTTTCTGTGTGTTGGGCTTTTCTGTCCTGCTTTTCCAATTTAGCCTAGTCCCGAATGGCCCAGGTTCCCGCATTGGCAGTTCAGTTCAAGGTTACCGCCGCTGTGGAAAAAAGGGATGGACCCTTTTTTGCCGGGGAGTGTCAATGGACGTGAACATTGAACGTTTGTTTTATTGGAGCTGCCAACCATTGGCGGGCAATTGAAGGCGCGAATGGAACGATCGCTTGCAAGTTCGAAGAAGGTGGAAAGAACACGAATAAAAAATTTGTATTTTGTCTCGCTTTTATTGCCAAACAATATAATTTCGTTCAAGGAATACTGGTGTTTTGGATTTAAAGTTGAGATATATACATAGTATTTATCGGTTCAAAACGAAAACGTCTTCACTAGAATAGGAACTTAGGGCTAAACTCCTTGACAGTAGTTTTTATTCATCCCAAAGCATGTTTTCTAGAAACGCCCCCTGTCTCACCGGTCTTTTCACTGCAATAGTCATTCGCTTCAAGTCAGCACCTAACAAACTTGTTGGTGTTGCCATAGCAGACTTGGCAAGCTCAAATTATCACAATAAAATCTAATGACTTTTAGAGGCTGACGGTATCAACGTTCGCGAGTTGTAAGGATTATACTAACTCAAGATCTTGTACCAACAAGTTCTATTGTGTTTGCACTTCGAGTGCCAAAGATAATGCAAAAGACCAGATTTCGTTGTCGTAATACGAGATATATTTCGGGACTAAATCGCGGGTAGAAGTGAATGCTTAGCTAGCTGGTAATCGTGCACGCACGTGACACGACGGAGTACCAAATGGCGGGGATGCTTGACCGGAAGCCTTCTGCTAAACAAGTCGACTTAAACAGTGAGGGTCAGTATCCAATGTTAAGTGATGATTGCTGTGGTCAATAATTTTGGGTAATTATTTACCGCTACAGACTTATAAAATGACCTTATACAGCCATCAAACCATACGATTCTTAGCATTCATTCTATTTATCCTAATTGGAAGTTAATGTCTGATTCTGTCCTGATTTCGACGAGTTAGTTTTAAATTAGGATTAAGGATAGGGTAAGGGCTTATGTAGCATCAGAGTACCGCGCTAATCGGAAAGAAATGTAAACAACAACAAAAATATGAAAATAAACAGGCAGTAAAAACAGATTACGCGAAACAAAAACATCGTAACGTCGGTAAGCTCTTCGAAGAAAGAAGACTGATTACGTGGGTGGAAGGATATTGATCACTATTTATTTTGTCGAAGGGGTGATAATGTACTTGTTCTGTCAACGTATCGTTTATTAAGTGAGTTATGGTGAGCTAGCGACCATATTATCTGAATGCTAATATTAGCGAATCACTAGCGCCTTCTGTGGAACTAGTTATATGGATGCAAATGGCACACGTTGTCTGTCAACCTAACTCCGAAAACAAATTACAGAAAGGTTTTATCTAGTCTTCTATTCTACGTTTGCTTCGAAGTCCTTTCTACTTGTTTGCTTCTATTATCGGTGCGTATATCAGTGCTGTCATTTCTATATGTTCCTGTAGCGCATTAAGCCATGGGGTTTCTTCGCCAATTTTTCACACTTGATGAGTGGAGAATCAATCAACTCCTTTTTACCATGTAGAGTTTCAAACCCTACTTGCAATGTGCAGTTGATTTTCAAATATAATCTTTTGTCTTCAGAAACCTTTAACCAACTGAATAAGTTTTTTTTGCACTCTTTTAATGCTCGCTGAGAGATTAGGGCATGGTGTTATTCAATAAAACTTGGTTTTTGCAGCCTTTGAAGGTAACTTTGCCAAAAAATAGATGTAAAGCTTACGCTCTTCCTGATGGGACATCGGATCACACACATAAGACAAACTACTTCTCCTTAGTTTAAATTATTTATCACCATCTTTCTCACAGCCAAGAACTTATCCATTCTACCATAACTAATTTCGCAAGCTACTTTCCCAGGATGAAGCATATCTATTTGAGATAGAAAACATGCAAATCCAGGAATCATAAGTCTACAATATTGAACAGCCAATATTGGTATGAAAATGGATAGCTCCTACTTGAATCCTATTTCAAGGTAAGACGAAAAATTTCTAGAAGTTCGCCATTAACGTATCACGAATTTGAGGATGAATAAAGTGGGCTTTTGTTTATAATAGTATCGTCATAGTAATCGTAGTTTATTACTACGAATCTCGACGCTACAGATTCAACAACTGGAATGACAGCTGGCAAAAAAAGCAAACGAGATGACGTCTCAGCCGTTGACACTGTAAACTTCTATTATGATTAAATTATCGCATTTAGTTCGATGAGGTGGTCATAGGGTTACATCAAGCGGAATCAGCTGTACTCATGCTAAAAAGTCCTGAGGATGATGTTAAAACTCGTGCTTGTGAAGCTCTCTATAAATTTTCGAATAAAAGTTGTCCGCACTTCAGAATAATATTTATTTCAGGTGATGAAAATAAAAAGACACTCGTATCATTAAATGTTTTGGAGTACTTGCAACCGTTAATAAAAGAAGAAAATAAGGTGGTTAAAAGAAATGCCACACTCGTCTACGGTGTTCTATCATCACTTTCTTATGCAAGAAATGTTATCAGAAAGCTTCCAAATATTGTTGGCGATTTACTCAAACTTTTAGATCAAGAGGGTATTTAACCTTCGCAACAAAGAATCAACCGTTTTGTTAAAACGTTTCCTTTATTGTCTAGAGTTCGAAACAACTAAAGAATTCGCTGCTATGACCTTGTCACATCTTTGCCTGGAATATGTTAGTATAAATGATCTAATAGAAAATAAGTGCTTCCCTGCCATTATACCGTGTCTGAAATCAACTGACCCGGATGTACAAAAAAACACCTTAGACATTCTAAATTTGCTTATGCAAGTAATTTTGTAATTATTGATCACGTTTTCTTCAAGGATTTTGAGGCGCGACCTATGCTTAAAGCTGCTGAAGGTTTAGAAACTCTAATCGAGCTGTTGACTTCAGAGTATCCAGTTATTCAAGATTTAGTGCTTAAAGTATTTGCTAGAGCAACACAAGACAGTAAGTCTTTTTAAAATCTTTACAGTCATTATGCAATTTTGACTTATTTCTCATGCTTATTTTGTGCCTCAGTGTCTATGAAAGTTGACAGAGTTGCCTGTGTTACTCCTAGAAGTGTATGTATTTTTGAAGATGCACTTCCTTTTAGGAAATGTTCTTAGAAAGAGCTGTTATCCAGTCGTTTAAAATCTTGTGAATGTGTATGAGTACTTTCTCTGGTTTTTCCTTCAGCTACTCTAGAACATTTCCATAATTATCTACTTCAGAGGGAGTAAAGGGGAGTTTAATTTGGAAATATTATGTTGTAAAATAAGGTTGCTTGTCCTTCTATTGTTTTGTTTTGCCTCAGTTTTCTGAAATTTTAAGGAATGAGTAAACCCAGGTGTTAATTCACACCATCTAAAATAATTAATCAGATATTTTTAAATTCATAAAATGCTTAAGGCATTTAAATAATGACCGCAGAAGTTTTATTCCTTATTAATATGGAGCTTTAAATCTGTGGTAGGATATAATTTCATGTTCATTTGTTCATATGGCATCTCACATGGCAACATAGCATGACTTACTGTATAAAGCTTATGGATAGATTACTGCTTGTAAGTGTATCATTTTGTAACACTTGTAATGTAAGGAAATTATTAAATGAGGTGAAATACACTGTACTTTCTAAGAAACCGACCACAATAGGTGCCTTGAATGTACGCCCAGTTTTAAATGTCAGTGAATTTTGCCGAAAATCTGAAATTATATTCTTGCACTATTATCATTAAACTGATTCTTTACTGCCTTACTTAGATGCATTATTTAATGTACTGTTGTCTATTTAAAGTATAATGGGAAACGAAATAGATGCCTTTGAACTTAAAAATGCAAGTTATGTACGTACTAATGTCCTCTTCTTTCCAGAGGAATCTTTATTCATAGAGAGGTTTCATAAAATCTTATTTCAAGTGACCAATTTGAAAGGTGCATTCTGCAGAAGGAGTCGTAGGATTTTACAATAGAGCCTAACAGCACTTCGTAAAGTTCATAACTGTTGTTTTTAATCCATTCAGGGAGATGTGGGTGACCTGTCAGGTGTTGTTACAATTTTAAAAGCTGATGATTGTTGTCTGTTGAAGGCGTTTTTATACTGTTGAAAATGCCCTCAGATCTTATCATCTTCACAGGACACGAGCATCTTACTAACTTTTACATAAGTACTACTTTTCTTGTCACACTCCTGACTGTTAATTGGCATATCTTTAGGTTTATTTACTCTCACATTTTGTGCTTTTCTGAATTGTGGTCACTTTACTTGGCTAATTTACTTAAATTTTATGTTGTTGCGTTTGTTAGAATGCCTAACAAACGCAAATGTTATCTCATTCGCTGTTAAGTACAGAGTGACATCCTTTTCATCAAGTGAATTGTAGTTCAAAAATTCTTTTTATGCAATGGTGCATGTCATCTGTTTCAGAAACGACAACTCCTAACACTCCTGTTTTTGGTGATTACCTGTACCACACTTTTAATGGGGAGCATGATTTTTATTTCTTTTAATTCTGAAGACCATATTCATTTGGTTGCAGCTTCCAAAGTATCCCAGTTTATTCCTAAAGTTTTCAATCAACAATCATACTCTAAATCAGCCAACATATAAGATTAATCCATAAAACACAGTTAAGTGAAAATACAGCGATACCGAAGCATTTTGTGCCTGAGATTAGTGAAACAACTAAGAAGAGTAGAATTTTTAAGTTTAAGGGAGTACATTTAACTTATATACTATATCTGTTTCGAAAAAGCTAGCATAAATATGATTTCTTGTGTGACTGCATTGATAAACTATATTACTACAATATTATCTATTCATCAGAACTGAAACATTTCTAATTTTAGTAAAGAACTGTTTTCTTCAGTTAAAATTGATTGTTTGATTTTTTAAAATAGATTATGACGAAATTTGGCAATCAGGATGTATATAACCGTGGGTTATTTTGCACTAGTTAGTATTTGTATTTCAGAAACATTTTATTGTTATACGGAGGGTGGAAGGGTAATGTATTGTTGATTCAGTCAGCGTAGAATAACATATGAGGAACATTCATGAGAACGGTAATAATTAGGAATTAAGTTTATTAACAGTTAAACCAACACGATTATATATCAAAAGTTACGATTGTAGAAAATCAGACCAGTAACGTGATTTCATATTAAAAGGCTGGTGTCCAGACCATTGTCCGAATCCTGTTACAAAGGAGACTTTGGGTTTTAATTATCATGCATTGCGAAAATAATAACTCTTATATAGAAGTTTGGTGAGACTATTCTAATGATCACTACATTAAAGGTTTGAAAGGTGATGTTTTCAAATCTGCATTCTAAATTACGCCTGAATATAAACTGTAATGATATTGTCAAAATGAGTTTTTTATTCTTCCATAGCATAACTGTCGCCTGTTTATTCGTATGTGGTCTTCTAAAGTTAAAAATCTATCTTTTCTATAGCATAGTTTCTGCAGCAAATAACACTTAGTTGTCTTTGAGTTAATTACTAGTGCTGTTTACACTTTGGATTGTCTGAATAACCAAACTAATTATTGTATCAGCAAAAAGATGTTTCTGTTGAAAGCGATCAGCCATTCTTATGCTTATATATCATCTTGACTTCGCTTAAATTTCAAAAATCAAATTATCCTAATATTTGGACAATTTCAGAAAGAATGCAGTGTCGTACACTTGAATCATACATAATTATGTTTCCAAAGTAAACTTTTTTTATTGTAGCTTGATTTCACACAGTTTTTTTTGTTACTAGTATGGAATTCTCAGCATGTGAGTCGGTAGCCCAAGTTTTGCAGGCCAAACATTGATATCAGGTGTGCGTCGGCAGGGGATTGAACCCTAGACCATGTGTATGGTCAGTGAGAGTCCTAACCGGGGAGTTAGTTTGTTGTAAAACTTGTAGCCATCTGAAATGCTTCACTGGGACCACAATTGTCTCATGATTCCCCTAGGATAAAGAATGACGAATCAAAGATCTATTGAAATTTACAGCACATTAAAGGGCTGAGAAATAGCTACCAATGCCTTAATTGACGTAGAACATTTTATCTGGTGACTTAGTAATAATTCATATTTGTAAATGTATATGTTACAGGATAAGCCTGTTATATCTAAAGTTTTATGCTTTTTGGCTGAATTTCAAGCCGGTAAATGTTAAGTAAATGCCTAGTGTAAAGTGTACTTTGTTTTATGAGTATATTTGTTAAATATTTAATCCAAATACTCAACCTTTTATGAATAGAAATAAAAGGTTTTATAAAAGCTCCTACACGATGATTCAGATTGCTTACAAGTGAAGCATCCAAAGTGATGTAACTTGATAATAACATTTATACCAGGAGTTTACAGAAATTTGAGTCTTTTGCTACTGTCTTTTATCAACTATATTTGTCGGACTTTCTTGATACATGGCTTAATACCGTATAACATTGGCTCGTTTTATCTCTTTTAGCTGACACTACAACCGTACCGGCAACATGTTTACTTTATTAAAAGTGCAGTACCAATGCAAACTTAATTTACCTATGTTTCGTAAATTCTAAACTAATCGGGTTGTTTTTAAAGCGTCTTTTCTGGTTGCGTATTATGTCGACTAAACAACGTAAAGCAAAATTATGGTTTAGTAGATGTTTTTCCTTGCGTTCAACATAATTCTGTCTCCTAAACTCTCCATAAAAAATGTGGTTGAAATCTAGTCACTGCGCAGGAGTTATTCTAGTCTTTCTTTGCAGTTGTGAGACATGGACGTTGAAAGTGAAAGGTATGCAGAGGTTGGCTTTTTTGACCAAAAGTGTCTGCCTTCTGTTTCCTGCGTTAAGTATAATAGTGAGTAATATTGAGTTTACACATATTGTCGGTAAGGGGAGCACGTTAATCGTTGACGTTATGAAATTACATCAAGTAAGGTGGCTAGAACACGTGTAGTGCATTTCGATCCATTGCTTTCCTCATCTTTCAATGTTAGTTGACATAGGATTCAGTTCAGAAAGAATTATAGACGGTTAAATCAAAAATCACATCAATCCGTGAAGTCTGGTTCTGGGTTTTTGGCGCGCAGATGGGGTACAAACTACCTGGTTGAAGTCCTCGAGACGCTGAAAGCCTATTGCTGAAACCTGTAGGTATCGACTCACAATCATTTTCATCGACACAGATTCATCCACTTTTTATGAACCCCTGGATTCTCTGTGCATTCATTCTTCCTTCTGTATATCACCGTTCATCACAGTTTCTTTGAATTTTTATTTTTCGCTACCTCTATATTCGATATTAAGTGTAACAACTTGAACAGGCATACTTTTATGCGAAGTTCTACTCTAAAAATTTAGTCAGTTAATCAGTCGCTAAAGTGTTCACTCTTTATCGCTTTCGAAGTTCAAAGAATCTGTCAGTATCTACATTTACTTATGTTCTCTTCTATCGCTCATCTTTATCCATTATGATATTTTTCTTTAGTTTAAATTAATGTGCTGCTTTATATATCATGATTTGAACCAATATATTTGTTTTATAATCTCCCAATGTGATTTACCTCTCCTTTTCAATCTTAAATGTTTCTACGGCGTGAAACTGTTAAAATTAATTTATCATCATTAATTTTACTTATTTTTATTATAAAGGTTTAATTAGAACAGCTCTGAGAGATATGAATGCATTGGATGCATTTATTGAAATTATTGGAATTCCAGAATTTAATGATATACATGTTTCTGCATTACAAGTTATTGCAAATCTATTAGATGATGTAGAATGCGTTAAGGTAAGTTGTCTAACTTCTTTTTACACATGTTAGGGTTAAAAGGTTACTCGGTATAGCGTTCTAATCTAATAAATAAACAGTGATGTGGTCGCCTCTTAACTTTGTAGTTTTCAGCTGGATCTCTTGTGAAGTCTTGAGTGAGCACCGCTTAACAGCTCCGAACTAGGAAACACCAACTGTGCAAATCTCACAGGTTTTAGTAGACTTTCTATACCATATCAGTTCAAGGTGAAATCTTACTTCTAATACAGAGATGGTTTGCAGAAGATTCTATTGTTTTAAGGACCAGTGAAAGCCTACATTCCTAGAAAGCCTAGACAAAATCAATAATCAGTGAGGTGAACGAAAGAGTTTAGAGTGGGATATAATGTTCATGACTACAATGAAAGAATTTATTCAACCATATGAAACAAAATCTTGATATTTAAAGTATTTAAAATTAAGGATTAAAAAACAATATTGTGATCAGATGAGCATTCTGACATTTCCTGAATCCATAAAAGCAAAATACTTTGCATGATAAGATTTCATCTCAATAATTCATTGATTTACAGAAGCTTCAAAGCCTTATTATCTATTCTAGTTCACATTAAAAAGACTCCTGAATTTATGCCTGTAAGTAGCTATATTGAATACTATCAACATTTTCTACTCTTCTTGAATTCATTATTTGTGTTGATCTAAAGGTTTTTTGAAATAAGTAGTAACGCGAAATCAGAGCTAAATAACTCCCACCACCAAGTGATAACTTCATCAATCCATTGTTCTACATCTCATCAGATCACTTATTCACTATATATCTTTAATAAGTGATTTACACCACTGTTCTAACTAAATATCTTTTGCTTTCTTTCCCGTATAGCCTTTAATTAGTCAAGGAAGTCTTCAAACATTATTACACTTTATTACAGATCGTCAAGTTTATAATGAGAATGACATTAAATCGAATTCTGCTAATCAGCAGCAGGTAAATAAAGATAAAAACGCCAAAGGAAGAAAAGTCAGCGCTAAAAAGACTGATAAGAAGAAAAGTGGAAAAGGAGAGTCGGATGGTAAGCTATTAAATTTATTCAGATTTATAAACAAACCCAAATACATTCTAAAGTGCAAGTGATTAAAAAGCTGCATACTCATAGAAGTATCTTGCTATGATTAAGTGGTACCCACCAAAAAAATAACTTCATATTTAGTTTGTTAGACTTTAGATGACTAGAAGCTACATAGTGAATAGATTCAATCACTGATAACACCGGCGACACAACAACAGACAACATGGATTCAAACCTTTATTCTGGAACTTGTGTGGGGGAATTAAAAATGAGCTCGATAACAGTACGAAATATTAGAATAAAAGTCTGAGTTAATGAAGGAATACTGAGTCAGTATATTATAAAAATACAGATAACGAGTCATGAAAGTTAAAGGTTATTTCAAAAGACAGTTGTAGTCCACTGTTATTGGGGTTTCACTGTTGGGGTCGTGTTCGCTGGTAGAAGTTGTTTACCGGTTGCTGAATAATCTTCAGACAACGATGAGACGTTCATGAAAATTCCGAAGAATACAACATGCGGTATTAGAGGAACAAGAAGACAGTATAACCCAGTGAGAAGACAAAGGGACGGACATAACACCTATATTTTCATTCGTATGCCAAAGTTATATATATTTCACAGAGAATTCAATTAAACAGAAATTATGTACAATGTGTTCATTTTCGACATTTAGCAAAAACTGTACAAATTTATCGTTTAGGATTCCACACTTGTTCCTCTAAGTCTGTGAACAAACTTTGTTAAAAAGTATATGTCACACACAAAATCTACGCCAAAAATGATTTCCTACGAACTTTTATCAATAATCAAAGATTAATGCGAAATCCACCACGGTGATGAATTGTTTAAATTGCCGACTACAGTAAGTACTTGTGACTGGACAAAGTAGTATTGGTCAATGTTAAGTGGAAATCCTTAGACTATTATTAATTTGACTCCATAATCCCTTAAAAAGAGAACTGTGAAACAAGCTTATTCCACCACTAAGGTTGTGGTGGTGTGATATAGACAATGGGTACAACGTAATATTATTCTCACAGTAAAAATCATTGTATGTGTTGTTATTAACGTCTGAATACTATTTCCACATTTCATTTCTGCATTAGCGACAGAATAAAATATGTATTTGAACATTCCATTTCATGTCGTTTAATGTAAACCAAAATCACAAGCTCAGTGATTAGTTAAGGAATTAAAACTGTATAGATATAAATAGCTGTTTGATCACTTGAAAATATACCTTGGCCTTCATGTCTTGCCTTCTGCTGTAACAAGATTACAATGTCATTAGAAAGTACTGACACAAAAGAGGACGTATTCATTCTGTCTAACATTAGTTGATGTGTCTATGCCCAACATGTTTAACAGTTTAACACAATGTAATACAGTGACTAGAAATTTGATTGTCAACAATACAAGTGAGTGAAGTCATTTAATGGTAAAAAAACCTCTACTTGATAGTGAACTTTCAGTGAGAAAACAGAAATAATAATTAATAAACTTTGTTTTGTCAGTCACGTATAATATACCGTTTACACTGTAGACAAATTGATGAATACGGATGGCACGTTAAATGATATCGCGAACTTATTATTAATCGCTAAGCTTATTATTATCCTTACAAATAGTAGATACTCTCCGTTTCCTCAATTTTTTGTGTGTAGCATTTGCAAAGTTTCAGCTAGCGATTTACTGGTACTGTGAGTTATACAAATATCTAGCAGTAGTCTATCTGACTAATGATATTATGAGCCTTCGACACATCTCGTTCAATCAAAAGCTTGTCTGAATATTTCATGCGGACGTTGCTAGGCAAAACGATGTTCTATCTCTTTATTGAATCAGTCAACTGTCTTTCAGTTTTATCTGTTAAACCGCTATTAATTTACAACGTATTCTAAGGGTTGATTTTTTGAATCCTGCTTCCATACACATTTTCTCTTCCCCTCCCATCACCAAGAGTCTTTCAATCCATGACTATCACAGAGAATTTCACTGAGAGTTTTATTCAAGTCTCAAAACTTATGCAGTATCTTATTCATCTTTTATGCATCATGTAAGGATGACGTTGTGTACTTTCTCTAAGAGTGAATGTAAGGTAGCGTAACTGTTTGAACAGTTTGACTACTGGAATATCCCAGTGAGACAGAACCAAAATAAAAATCGCTAGCACACTTTACTATTCGATTAAATAACTTTTTTGTTATTGACATCTTATACTAAAATGAACCTCGACAATATCAACATTTCATTGTATGCCTCTACACTGAAAGTAATTTTTCCTTCTTATTAATCAAATTAGGGAAAAAGGATGATGAAAAACCACCGTCGAATACTCTTCCAGAGGCAAAAATTCATACGTGCAATGCACTTATGAGAGCTGCTTGTAAAGGTTAGTTCATATTGTAGCTATTTTAGTCAATGCCGTTTACTTTTAATTTTAGTGGTGCAATGATTAACTGTAAAATATTAATTGAAAAAAGGAATCCACTCGTAACATACAGTTAGCTGATTTCTACACTTACTCGATTGTTGTACATTACTCTACACTATAGGCTTTGTTCCGGTAGAAAGCCATGAATGATGATTGTGAAACTACATAAATAAAATACCAATCTATCAGGTCACTGATTATTAGTTGAGAAACATGAATCGTGACTTTCTAGAAAAGAAATAAACGCAAACGGTTTTAGATTCAGAGGCTTTTAATTTAGCAACCTGTCCATTTTTAATATCGTAATTTTCCTTCATTATTTTTCAACTTCTTAGATGCTCTTTCATCTCAATGGCGTAACTGCATTCACTGTCACCTTGGACAGTTTCTTGTTTTTCTCAATTCTTCATTCTTTTCTAGACACACTGATGCATTTCTATCCGATACATGGTGTGGATGTGTGCCAGTATTATTGCACAAATTCACTCTAATTTTGGTCGATTCAACCAGATTCCCCTTTGAAATGATATCGGTTCCTTGGGATTAAAAGCGTTTTTTACTTTAATAAATCAGCTGTAGTTTGTAGGATATCTGAATGTTTACAAAGTCGTTTCTATTTAAAAGCTGTGTTTCTAAAAAAATAAATATTTATTATTACAAATACGAGTAAAAATCCTTGAAGCTATGCCAATTACTTTGAACTATCAGTCATCAAGATGTTGCATGTAAATCTATGTAAAAATTTGAGAATAACTGATTCAGTGACTTGAGTTTATTGATGATGTAATTCGGAAATATGCTAGATGGCTAGAATATTTTCACTCCTTGTAACTATACGGATGCATAAAACCTCCATTATTCCATATTGGTTTGCATATGGCGTATATACGAATTGAAACAACATTATTTTCTGGATGATGTTTAGATCTCAGTTTATTGTTCATAATCATATTGTGGTGAGAGCTGGCTGCTAGCCAAAGTTGGTAGACAGTAATTTACGTCAATGTTTATGTCCCCAATATTGGTGGTAAGAAAGTGAGAACAAAGGCTTTGTGTAGGCGGATACATTTAGCATATGGATGACCTGACACAGCCACAAAGAGATGCAAGGTTAACTTTCTGTGAGAAACAACCAATCAAAATACTGAATTTTCTACTAACAATAATCTACAATAATGTACATTAAAATCTATAAATATGTGTTGATTTTCCTTAATAAACGATCTGTTGCCTGGCCCTTGTCTTCTGTTGTTGCAATATCAGTTGTTAAGTACACTGTTGAAAATGTCTAGTAATCGGCAAAGTTGAAGCCAGTTTTCAACAATACCGATAATAGTGGTTTCTGTTATTTGTACAAATATTCCTGAATTTATCAGAGCATGGAAATTGTACACATGTACTTAAATCTAATTTTATAAAATGGCTAACTACTATCACTGTAACGACAGAAGACAGGGGGCAGGCAACAGTTTGTTTATTGTGAAAATCAAGAGATATCTATAGAATTTTGTGTACATTATTGTCAGCGGAGAAACGACATCTTCTGATTGGTTGTTTTCTTGCTGAAGGTTATTCTGTATTGCTTGTGACCGTTTCTCAGAAAGTTAAGCCACATATCTACGATTCCTATTTGCGCACGTTAAGTCTGCTGTGAGTTCCTTAAGGTTGAGCTTAGTTATTGTTTTCTCATGACCCTGATTCGAGGGGTAACACACACTTAAATTGTTGTCTATAATTTTGGTTTGCGGCCAGCTCTCACCACACTACTACTGGTTGATGTGAGTGATATCCCACCACTCATGTTAACCAACCGGTGGTATATAACGTGATATCTTTATTCTTGCTTTCTTGATTGCTATTTGTGGTATAAAGCAGATTACATACTGTGATTTGAATAATTCTGGTCTCTAAAGGAAAATGCGGTGAAACTTCACCTCGAAATGTGTGAACTGCAAATTGAATATTGGATTTATTGTATTACATGTTCGCCCAAATAGCCAATCAAAAGTCGGGGGTTCGAGTTAACTCGGTTGTCTAAGCTGATTCAAACCGGACACACCGCTGATCAGCTGGTACCCAAATGAGTGAAATGACCTTCTGCTATTCAAATCCCTTTGATCTTGTTAGCAAGAGCTTCTAGTTGACGTGAGTGGTACTCCAACTTCTCATAATAATCAGTTAGTAGTTGATAGCATGATGGCTAACGACATTTGTTTTGTGAAAGACATTGAGAACTTTTGTAGCATAGATTAGCGAGGACATGTATATTTTAAGTTAAATCAAAGTGTCATTGTTGTCTCTTTAAATCAACATTCTTAAAGATACTTGAAAGCTCCATCAGTGGAATCCAAAGCGGACGTTTCCTTGCACAAAAAACAACACCTAGATGCTCTGTTGGTATTAGATGGTTGGAGGCAACCGGCAAGAAGCCTTGGACTTAGGTTTCATGCTAGTTGGCACTCAACAGCAAAGCGTATCTGCAACCTCGAAGGAATTTAGATACCCTTGCAGTGGGTAAAATGTAGCACCTATCATTTCATACTTCAATGCATTATTGATTGGGCGAGTTAGCAACACAAACCACCTCTTATGCGATACTCAAATTTTTTTAGGTTTCTATGGGAGCAAATCATACTGAGATACAAGGACATTCAGCTGAAATGTCTTAAAAATTATAAAATGGGTCTCTTGAACTTTACTAATCGCCGCTGTTACACAAATAACCTTTAAATGAACCCTAGTTTATACCTGGACATTTTTTAGATACCGACACGCTTGTAGCACTCAATTAATTTTACTAAGTAAATACGAGCATAAGGAAACAACGGCATTTTGTGGTTATTAACACGTGTTTTCTGAAACATTTTCTCCATTTTTTAGAAGAAACACGAAAAATTCTACATGATGCAGATACTGAAAGGATGTTGGTGTCATTATTATCACATGAAGATGAAGGTGTACGGGCAGCGTCTGCTCAAGTCATTGCTGTATTCTCAGAAAGTGCAATATGCCAGGATAGAATAGCTGAACTAGGTACCGTCTTCTTTTGTTTAAAGCTGTCTTCTTGTAGTCATTATAACTTTTGCTTGGTTGTGAGTCAAAAGGCTTAAAAGTACCTCAGAAACATTTCTTAGTAATATGCAGGCATAAAACAGTCTTATTTTATTTCATTTTATGTACGAGTGCTAAAACTAGTCATCGACTGAAAAATTTGGTCGTCTATCAGTGGTACTGAGAATTACTGCATAAATCTTACGTTCAAGTGAAATTCAACATATTTAAACGGATAAGCAGTCGTCCGAATCTATTCAGTTCTCAATAACTTCCTTACTATTATCGATCTGTGATGCTAACCGCTAAAATGAGTGAACAAAAATTCCCTCACATGCCACAAGTATGTGCACTGATAACCAGGAGGCAACGAGATGAGATTCGAAAGTATAAATAAGCAAGAGAATACCGAAAAGTATGTTGGAAATTAATCAACATACATTGCTTTACAGATCACACACAAAGCAACTTTATTTTATAGAAATGCCAAACTATTCCAGTGCATTTTTAAAATTAATTGGACAGAAGACAAGGAGTGAAAACAGTATTGTAGTCAAACTCCTAAGATACTTCAAGAGAAAAGGCTGTGTAGTAATTAGAGGATACTGATAAGATAAAGATTTAACACGGATGCATCTGCATTCTTATTGAATGTTGTTTTTCATAAAGTGATGTTTTCCAGTCGGCCCATGAAACAGTCAGCCAGGAAAGGTACTACAGAATCACTCATTGCTATGCAATCTGTTCATCCAGAGAATTCTTTGTCATATTTGAACCACACACTGAAAGGACATAAGATTAAGATCTTTCCTAATTAGTGCAGCTATGCACCAGCATCGATCTTATGATAGTGTATGAAATCATATGGAAATGAATGTTTTTTGTTTATTTGACGTCTTACGAAAAGGAAATATCTAACGAGATTATCCTTTTACCTGCTAAACTAACATTCTAAATTGGCAACAGTGATTAAGGAAGAAACAATATTCTTTTCGATGATCTCTTTGTCATCTGTAGCTTTGGCTATATGACTCATGACTCATTTGGGAAGTAAAACTTTTCATACAACGATCTTTTGTTCCCCAATAATCCGACGAGTATTTTCGACTATAATCAGCAAGCAAGGTAAAATAAGCATTGATAAAAAAAGCAGTTTATTTACATTGAAGTTAGTTGCGAAATAGTTCATTATGAGAATGGGGTTTCCAAAATTCTTATATAATAAAATAATATACGGATTTGATAAAATAATGTATGGAAGTGAAATTCGAGTAACTGATGGTTTTTCTCTAAAATTGTATTTCATTTTCATAAAGCAGTGATTATATTTTCTTATTTGTCTGTAAAAAGTCCATTTTTCATTACAGGTGGACCAGAATTATTGATACGTATGACTCGGAGTGATCATCGTGAACTTAAGTCTGCTGGAGCTACAGCGCTGGCTGCTTTAACCACGGGGAATGGATCAGTTTGCCGGTAATTTCTGTCAAACTGTACTGTCTTGACTTACTTTAGTTTAAGATGCCTATAGCTAAAGTTTGAATGTCAGTCTAATTCACAGCAGAATTTATACCAGAGACAGTCGGGTGTTTTCAGCACATGATTTTCAGAACAACCTTTCTGTTGTAAACGCCTCTCAGTTTTCATTATTACTAATGAACTCGGGGTTTCTTAAATAGCTAATGATGACCTTGATTGATCTTTTTAGTTTATTTGGCTCATATTTACAATGAATGATTTATGCAGTCTGTGACAACAATGAAACATTCCCTTTCGTTTACTTATCTCAATCAGAATAAATGCCCATTTAAGATTTGTGAACATTGAATCTCTGAAATATTATTGTTTCCTTTAATTCCTAGACCAACATAGGGATTCAGCTGCACGTCTCCATTGCGTTCGGTTCTCCAACAACGTTTTCTCCTGGCTCCGTGTCTACCCAAATGCTTTCATCTCCTCTTCACATGACCTCCTCCATGTCACCCTCGCACTGAGGACCAACTCGCCGCTTCCCATTCAGCTTCCACTCGAGCGATGGCCTGGCGTATGATGTCACTAACTCGATGGTTTGTTTTCTCAGAGCATGGCCAGCCAATCCACCTCCATTTTTCCTGCATATATGTTGCACAATTGGTTCCTACTGGGTCGGTTCGCTCATTGCCAGAGATCTCTCACTATTGCTGATCTCTTCTGGCCGGCCGTCTGATCTTGAGTGACATTGAGCGAAGACAGCTGTTGATGAAGGCCTGTAGTTTGTTTGAATTGCCCTTCGTGACACTCAGTACAAGTCTCTGATCCGTATAGTAAGTAGCACTGGCTTCACATTTTATTTGGAAATCCGGATCTTGTTTTTCATGCTGAGTGCTGTTGAGAGTAATTAAAGCTTTCCTTGCTTTCCCAATCCTCGTTTCGATATCCTCATCAGTTCCGTCAGCCTGTATTTGAAACGATGCTTCCCAGGTCGGTAGGTAAAGGAGGTTGCTTCTCTCAGATTCCTCCCATTTATTCTGATTGTACTTTGTGGCTGCTGGCCAGGAATCTTCACCACCTCTGTTTTCTCTATATTCACCTGAAGTCCTATCTTTGATGTTTCTTCTGCCAACTTGCTGCTTTTCACTTGCATATCTTCCAGTTTTTGGGAGTATATCAAAACCAACAGTTTGTGCAGAACTAGATGGTACCATAGTTTATTTCGTTGGATTCTCAATAGCTGCATACAGCCTAAAAAAATTATTAGGTTTATGTACAGAACAATTTGACATAATTGCAAATGTTACATACTGTCAGTTGACAGCAGACTCCAAACCTAATAGACAGTGCTCAGAAATAACACATTAAATAGCTTGTACCCGGAAAGTTGGAGTTTGAGCAACAAATGAATGCTTAAATACAGTGGCCAAAGAGTTATTCAATGACGATAAGAGATGAATAAGGTGATGAGTAACTAGTAAATTGAGTAACAAAGTGATGATTTCTTCTCAAATCATAGGAACAACAGACAAGCAAGGTTACGCTGTGGCGTAGGGGATAGGTTAAAGACGAAGAATACGTCATCGAATGGATATGACAGTTAAGAAATTTAGTTACCAAGGCAAGGGCCGCTTCTTTCTGAACACATAAACGGGGTATCAATTGCTTCAGCAAACTAGAGGAGAACAAAACAACCTTATCTAATGATAATTTTAAAGGGTTTCATGGTAGCCACCTCACAAAGCGCATCAATGAGGTAGCTGGTAATGGCACTATTGTAAGCATTTGTTTTCTTAAGACATAGGTTTTTTGCTACATGTTGTGAAAGTCGAAGGTGTGCCCTTCTATTACCCCAAAGTTACTGCTATCGTAGGCATAAGTAAATTTGTAAACATAGTTAAGTCAAACATAAGAAAAATGCATCGTTGAAAAGAGTCTCTTTTTCAAATATTGTAATTCAATGTTACGCTGGGAATAATTAATTTACCATCCTAGTCATAAATTCATAAGTTGCTATCATCGACTAACTTGGTTTCTTTGTGCTTTCCAGGAATAAAATTCAACTATTGTCCTATGCAGCAATAAACGGTCACTTAGACTGTAAAAATTAGGCACCACTACCAACGACGATTTACATTACCTGTTAATAAACTAATCTTTACACTAGCAATTCTAAACTGGTAGTCTATACTCTCAAAAATAATGCTAATATTGTAATGAACGCTGAAAATTCCATACCTGTACCACAAATACTGTTTGGAATAAAGCCATTATTATTATTATTATTAATTAGCGATAGTTTCCCATCATATTACTTATCTTATATAAGTACCACTAAGTTTGAATTGCTGTGATAAACATCATCAGTGTTATAAGATAAATCAAGTATAATTTTCGGCATTTTATAGAGAAGTTGCAAGTAGAAATTCTGGCATTGAAGCATTGTTGAGTTGTTTACATATGCATGATCCTGAGGTTGACTCAATCACTGTCGGTGGCTTAGTAGCATTGACGAATTTGGCTCTTGAAGAAACTACAAAACCGAAAGTCTTACATTCAATAACAGCCAAGCTATTTGTGCCGACATTAAACTCAAGGTGAGTTTAACTTTTGTCAACTGATAGTGTATACCGAATTTCAAAACATGACCAGTAGGGCCCTGGTGGTCGTGCTAAGATCATTAATTGGCAGAAGTTAGAATGCATGAGCTGGCCACTGAGACGCATCCCAGTGGCTGAATAGCGTACGTAACCGGAAGGTCCTTGGTTCGAAACCCGGTGTGTGCGTGCTGCCGATGAGTCCCAAACCAGGACAAAACAGATCGAGTACTACCTTTGTTAAACTTGAGAAACATGTTAATATAACTAGAATGAGGTACCTGAATAGATCAGTATTTGTAAAATAAACTTTTTGGTTTTCTTCAAGCCATTTATGCAATCCTCTACAGATGTAGACTGCTCTAAAGTTGCGTAGGATTTATGGAGTTTCTCACTGACAAGTGTTAAGGCTGTTTCATGTTTGTTATTAATCTGCAATTTTTGATTATCGTAAACTCCTGAAGAGTAATTCATTTGAAATTATTCCTTTTTATATACTGAAACTAATGTAGCTCTGTTTTAACCCAGTCAAAAGCTGCACTAGCAGTAGCTTCATTGATATGTGAACCGAATACCATACAACAATTTCGTCAACTTGGTGGTCTAGCAAGTTTATTGAATTTAATCCAATCAACAAATAACGAAGTACGTCGTTCAGCGTGTTGGGCACTTGCCACATTAGCCAGTGATCATACTGTTGCTATGACACTATCACAAATGGAGTGAGTAATAAAGTTTATAATTCTTCTATTTTCCTATGCATTTGTGTAGACATTATACTACCTCCACAGTTTGTAATTTTTGACAGTTCCCTATAATTTCAGTTAAAAATATAAAATTTTAAAGGTTGGATTTATTTAGTAGCCAGTAGACTTCATTCTAAAGTAAATTTCACCTATGAAATTCTTTTTAAAACAGACAGAGTAGATTACTTTATACAAAAACAGATCTCAAATGCATGTATAATCGTGTAATCATTTCTTTACTTACTACTTGTGTTCACAAGATAGATTCTCGTGTTCTGAGCTTCCATTACAATTTTCTCAAAACTGTGAACGGATTAAAGTTGATTAATATAACGGATTTGATTTCAGTTGTGATAAAACAAAATTACATAAATTATTTAATTCAATTTTAGATTTTCCCGTCGATTGATTGAACCAAAGTGCTCTGTCTCAGGTTGACATGTCAGCTTCGACGATGTCTGGGTATGTGATTAATAGTTAATTGGTGGATGGTGACTAGCAGTGGAATCCAGGATGTTCATTTCGTCCTGTTTGCGACTCGTCATCTGAATGTGCCTGCATTCCGCATTGAGTGATGATGTTCACACTGAGGCTCTGCACAAGAAGCCAACATGTCAACCTGCGACCAAGCACTTCGGTTCAATCAATCGACGGGAAAATCTAAAATTCAATTAAATAATTAATATGACCCGCTGTACAAGAGGTGGCTCTCGTGGCCCTAGTGGTCTAATGAGTAACGCTTTGGCGTTTGAAACTATGGGCACTGCGTTCGAGCCTCGATGGGAACATCATCACTCACTGCGGAATGCAGGTACATCCAGCTGACGAGTCGCAAACAAGACGAAATGCACATCCTGGATTCCACTGCTAGTCACCATCCACCAATTAAAATTACACAAATCTCTACAATGTAACCGTAAAAGACAAGAGACTGGGTGACGGAATGTTAACTTGGAATTAGTTATCTATATATAGGGAAATTATGTATACCTCATATGAAAGGCGTCATTTGCACAGATTTCCCGTGTTGTGCTACTTCTGCCCTTCGTATTGTGTTTCTCTGCCTTCTTTTCATGTCTACTATGTTTTGCCGCAACACTGGTTCATTTACTCTCTTTGATGTCAAATGTAACTCTCTGTTATTTGACATTTCTATGACGATGAACGTCTCCTTATACACTACTGATAAATCTTGTCAATAGCACACATCTCAGCAATGTTATTAATATTGTGGTTCACTGAATTTCACAACACTTATGTGATGAATTAAATTTCAATCTGAAAGAAGAATATTCTTTTCAGTAATTTCTATTCCGGTTCTAACAATTACAAAATATAACATTTGTTGTCGTTACAATAATGGCCAGTTATGCGGCAGATACATTTCTGTGTAGAATAACAGATTAATTATGGGTTGTCACAAATAAATAATATTTGTGTGACAAACGTGCTGGTCTGAATTCACTTGCAAATATGAAATGGGAGACAGTGGTGTCGATTAGTCATACTGGATTCATACAGTGTGGGGTAGGAAAAAACGACAAATCAGTTCAAGGTTATAAAAGGTGTCAGGTGAGTGGCTTGTACAAAGTAGTATAAATTAAAGAGGAGATAGTAAGACTGCAGTGAGAGGTTCATCATGAAATAACTAATGTGTGAAGTGAAACAGATGGAGGCATATATTGAGAAAACAGATAATGTTACTAATTTAGAGGCTAAGGGTGTTGACGTTCATGGATAGTATGAAGTATACTAACGTAAGATGAAATACACAAAACTTCTATAGTTTTCGTTCCTTGTAGACCAAAGGCAAAGCAGAACACCAGAAATGATCGTCCAAATTACGAATTATATTTTGAGACCAAATCGGAGTACGAGATGATTGCTTAACTATCTAGGAATCGTGCACGAACGAACGAACGTAACACGACAGTATGCCAGATGGCATGGATGCTCGACTGGTACCCTTGAGCTAAACAAATCGATTGTGACAGAGAGGGTCAGCAACCAATGTTCGGTGACGAATGTTGTGGCCAATAATTCTGGGGAATCACCTACCGCTACACTGAAAATAAGTCCGGATAGTACAAAAAGAAAATTCGGTAGTATTGAAAGAAATTTCGAATAAAGGGTACAAATTATAACGAGTAATAATAACTGCAATAATAAGCAAAATAAAAGATAAAAAACCAAAAGGGATAAGGGGAAGAGGTACTCTTGGTGAAAAGAAGAAACCTTAATCCAAGTTTGCCCATGGTAGGAACAGCATCTGAACATGTTCCTTTTGGATACAAAGTTCTGGTTTAGTCTAATGAGTGGAAAACATTTGGGGATTCCGTTGAATCATTTTAACGTTCAACATATTAGTTTTATTTGGTTCAATACATTTTGATAGCGTAATTGTGGTATTATTTTAAAGTGTCGAAAACACTTTTGATAGTCTACTCTCTTCCACGATAAGATCACTGAGTACTTACACTTTATTTGACTTATGTCTAACTGATAACCAAGTGAATAACATTAGGCTTTTTCATTATCACATTGTGTTCTAAATTATAGTTCAGATATACCTGTTTCACTCTTTTCTACAAACCTGTAAAAAAAAGATAGTGTATATCATTATTTTGTGAATTTCTTTATTCTTTCGTTATTTTTCTTTTCAGTGGTATAACTATTCTACAGAATTTAAATGAGTCAATATCACGAAAAAATGCTTTCACTGAATTGGCTTTGAAACGTGTACTCGATGCCAATTTAATGGCTAAATTTTCCCTTACTGGTTACTTAGGTAATGAATGCATTTACGTCCTGATTTACGCTGATATCAGTTTGTTCATTGTTCAATAAATCTGATTACTGATATAACACTTAAATGATGATAATTTATATGTATATATGAATGATTGTTTTGAAATAGTTTACTTCAGTATGAATTTCCATCGTCAAATGTTGAATATTGGGAAGGTTCTTTCGTTCTTTATCACTGATTTTTTTCCTTTACGTTCCCAGTGGAACATAGGGAGTGGTGATTAGCAGTGGTGATTATTTTCACAGGATGGGGTTGCTAGCCTCATGCCCCAACCTTCCCTCTTTACTAGTCTTACTACTGGCTTAGCGAGGTTTTGGAGTGTGTCGGCCGGCGATCGAACCCCGGACCACCTTCGTGGTTGGCGAGCACTCTACTGGCGTGCCACCGACACACTTTATCACAGATAGTCAAGTGGTATGACTAATTGCATTCATGACAGTGAGCAGTTGAATTCTTGACGCATAATTTCTAACCACCAAGCCATAAGCTTCATCTTTTTAAATCATATCCTGGATATTACTCCATTGTTTAATAGTGATCTATCAAGGGATGTAATGAGAAGTCGTGACTGGTGGGATCCACAAAGTCGTATGTTAAGACAGACACTCACACATATTGAAGTATGTCTTGAAAGTGAAAGCTTCACAACTAGACCATACAGCTCAGAGAACACAACTACACAGATACAGATACTCACGGATGACATTGGCCGCTAGTGGTGCTATGCATTGCTAATTTGTAGAATGTAGAATTCATGAGTCACCTGATCCTCTCAGTGACTGCGTGATTGATGGGTTCACCTCTTAACTTGAAGATCCTCCTATAACTGTCTGTGAGGTCATAGGTAAGTAATGCTGAAGGACGAAGCAGCCATCGAATACTCCCTAGTTTTTAGGGGTTCTTTATTGGCGTTGAATAGTGACAAAATCTAATCTGAAATTAATCAAATCCCTACAAAACAACACTTGCAAATTTTATTTTTATGTCTGGTTATATAACAGTATTGTTAAGCATATAGGCAACTCGATTGAAGATTATAAAATGGGAGACAATGGTGGTGATTATTCATAATAGATTTGAAGAGTGTGGGGTAGGAAAATTGACAAGTCAGTTCAAGGTTATAAAAGGTGAAGATTAGCTACCAACCGCTTATCAGTTCAGCACCCCTTAGCCCAAAAAATGAAGACAGAAGACGGATCGGTCCGCACCTGTGAAAAGAATTCATTTTATTAGACAAAAATACAATATGTGTGAACATTACGATGCTCCAGAAAGTTAAGGGAGCAAACAACTAATTTAATTGGTCGCGCAAGGTCACACTTTGAGGTTGTCCAATCACATTATAATAAGGATTCTTTCTCAGTCCAATGCTTCAATTAGTCAATCCTGTGATCAAAACGAAGTAACTCGGAAGTCACATTTTTAAGTCAATAAACCACGAATGCATTGTCTCCGAAATCTTTATGAACAATAAATATGCAACATAGTTGCTGTGCATACTATCACATGTTGTTGAGAAAATTATAAGAACTAACGCTCAACAACTTAGTGTTTGTTCTCGGTATGTCATAACTGTACACTTTGAAATGTCCAACTGTAATCCAGTATTACTGAACATTTTGGTGTTTTTAAACTGAAAGACGAAACCTTATGTATCTAGTCTTTTCGGTAAATGTGTACTGAAATGGTGACTTCATTTCAACACAAAATGTTCTCAACCAATGGGATGTGATCACAATGACCGCAAATTGAATTGAACTTTATGAAAGTAAATTGAACACAGTGGTAGTGCTTCTTCGGCATACTTTTCAGTCAATCTCGCAATTTCTTTACTTCACCTCACCACTTTTAGATTTGTCTATTCAACCTAACACTGATGTCACTTTAGCTGTAATAGAAATTATTAATAATTTTTTCGCTCAGTAGAAAATTATAGGTCTTGTGTAAATAGGGATTGACAGTAAAAGGAAGCAAACATTGTATACATTTTTAAACCTGATGCAATTGAATTGGTAATTTTTATTATCTGTTAGAATTGTGGACAGATGCTTGTATAAACACCTCTTTTGTGAATAAAATTTTTTTACTTTCTTCACGTCGACGAAGCATTACGTTAAAAAAAATTTAACAGGCATTCGCTTGCTTGTACGGTATTGATAATTTGGAAAGGAGTATATTAAGTGTAATTATAGCACAAATCTTTTCAAGCAAGAATCACTATTTTTCTACTTTAGGGAAGTATTGGTGTGGTGTGTGGCTGCAAGGCAAACGCTGGTCAAAGTACCCTACGCTTTTCAAATTCGGGAAGCCGCTTATTAGCTTAAGTAGACCTATTGTATGTGAAGTGATGGAAACTAAGGCGTTCGCTACTTACGTCCATTACCACCCCTCTGACTTAACTTCGTTTATTCATACTGAGTATTGCTAATATGTCTGATTTTAACTATTCAGAAATCAACTTGTTACAAGGGGAAATCTTGCTGATTTACAGTACACAGAAGATATTAGTCTTAAAAAGAATGACTCTGAGAAAATGCAGTATCCGAACTCCCTGATAACATGTCTTAATATGTTTGGCAAGTGCTTATCCCACATGAAATCTAAAGTAAGTCTACACGATTGGTTTTCACCGACTTCTAGTTTGGACTGAAGGAGTGAAACAACTGAATGCGTTGACCACTTCATTTATTCGCAAATTTACATCGATCCTAATGGTTAAGTTGCTGTTGAAGTCTCATTGTGGAAGCAAAATGCTTGTCTTGCAACCACTGGTTTACGTCATCTTTGACATAAGCATGGTGTCTAACTACCATCAGAAAGTGTTTTTTATTGCTCCATCCTACTGTGCCACTGGAGTATGGGATATAGGAAGATTGTCGGTCTCTAACCACTGACGCCTTCGTTTTGGTTGATCTCGTCAGATGATGCCATAAGATAAGTAATGTAGAGATTGGGCATAGATTGTAGATTGAAGAAAGTAAGTCATTTGATTAAGTCATGAGCTGTTATCGATTGGAGTGGTTAGGACAAGGTCATGCATACTGAATCATCATTTTTCTCAATAAACAATTTCCTCTGAAGTAAAATTAGGTTTGAAAAAAGTCAGTGTTGATTGGACCAACAATGACATCAACAAATCAAGTCACTGATTGTTGATTTTAACCTTGTACGGAGATATGTGTTGAGTACCTTTGTGGGATGTCTCAAAATCGTCCACAATCGAGACGCATTTGCTCCATGTCGCCTTTTAGGTTATGAAAATGTTGAACAAGCTTTATTTAATTATTCACTTCTTTTAATCCGTGTTTATTTATAATAATTTAGTTTAACTCCACTCCATTCATTTTGTGTGCTTCTTCTAAGTGTGTGATAGGATCCTCCATAAAAGAGTATATCATCCTTCCTCACGCATATTGTGATTTATCGTGCTATCAATTATTTCTCACGCATATTATGACTTGTTTAATCAATCATTTCTCCCAGCTGTGAACCGACTTCAGGCCAGCCTTTGACTTTTGATATTTGCGTGGCTTAGTGAATCCGAAGGTAGAACGGACAAATAGGTATATTAGGGTATCGGTCGAGTTCATTGCCATTATTACCAGTTAGCAGCTCAGATATAACAAAGTGGCGACGAGGTTTATTCACTTCAGTGCAGTTATAACAGTGCGGCAACTTGAACTGATGAAGATGCCTGCGATCACCTTGTAATCACAGTTTTCTTGTTCTGGTAAAGTTACTTAGAAAATTCTTTTCTCTGTAATCTATAGTAGTATTCAAAGTTTTTATTCTTACAGGGACTATAATATTTCTTTGCAATGTTTCTATTCTAATTAGATATTAGAATTTTTGTAGTATTAATACACAGCTTTTAAAAACACTTTATTTTAGATTTCACAGATTATATTCCAGATGTATTTTATGATCCTGGTCAATTAACAAATTCATCGTCGTTTCTTACACTGGAAGAGTATGCTGATCAGGCTGTGAATGATCATCGGCCAATATTCTTTATAAATATACAAAAATGGTTAGCGGTGTAAAGTAAATGTTTTTGCTTACTAACTCCATTTAAAAGTCTTATGTCATGTACGTACAGACTACTTCTGATTAACTCTTAGTAATTTGTTTTAGTACTCTACCATATTGTTTGAATTAATTCAGTTCTGTTGGCGAATATATTTCATATATGAGATTTAAAGATAAGCTTTCGATGTGTTATTTTAATTCGTGAATTTTTAAACTGAAGCTTTTAACCACATCCTTTTATTTATTGTGTTCAGTGTAGTTATAAGGTTGGTCGAGATCTCTACTTGCTTATTGGCTGATTGTCAGTCTTATGTTGTACTTTTCTGTATTTTTTCTCATATGTTACAGAATTTTATATAACTGACTGAATTAGCTAAAGTTGATTATCATATTCGTTGTGTTTTACACTTGCTGCGATCACCTGACTTCCGAAAAGGAAAACTGAATATCATGAGCCACAGGATTCCGATACTATGATTTAGAGGTGACATGCTGCCTTAGTAATTTCACAGACTGAAGCATCCTTTCTAGCTGGCATACAGGTGGACAATGTTGAATGGCTTTAAACTGCAAAGAAGTAACTCTGTAGCACCTCTGATTTTCAGTATTTCTCTAACAAGTGTCTGTCTATTCAGAAAGTTATCCTGTAATCGACTGAATCTCTATGAACCCAGAATTTTAATAACCTTATTCAGCATTAATTCTTTGGAATTTCCTATGTAAAAATGAAAGCAGGATTAAAATTTCCTTACTATTTTTCTTTTTTTTTCAATCATGCATCTGTTTTCTAATACAAATAAAAATGTTGCAGAATTGTGGCTCATAAACTTAATCACAGGATTTCCAAGTACTGGTTTGTAGGGATTTGATTGATTGGCTACAGGATTTCATCATGAGCTGACATCAGTTAGAAACTACTTGAATACTTGAATATCAAGAAGTGCTCACTAGCGACTGGCCCTATTCAGGTAGGTAGTTACCTGGGGTTCTAGTGAGAAGTCATGACCAGTAGGATGCAACAGGTCGGGTGTGAGGACATACACTCGCCGAAGACATTAGCTAGCGGTCACGCTATGTCGTGAATTGGTAGAAGTTAGAATTCATGCACTGGCCATTGGATCGGGTCCCAGTAGCTTAATGGTCTACGAGTTCGCTGGCCTTGTAACCAGAAAGTCGTGTGTTTGAACCGTTGTGGTGGGTGCGTATTGCCGAAGAATCCCAAACTAGGACGAAGCAGCTTTCTGGCAGTACTCCCAGCTGGCTTTCCAGTAGTTCTCTAACCGATATCAGTTCACGAGTACTTAGGTAAAACTCAACTGCTTATACCTGAAGCAGAAGAATCCGCCAGTGCTAGAGGCCATCACACGTCAATAATTTATAATCATATAAAAACGTCCTCTTAGTATTTTATCTTACTTGCAGAAATTGATTATTACTCGTTTTGACATTTATTAATAAATGCTTGTATTTTTGGCCTTTTTCATTTTCCAAATACTTATGATTATAGTGGTATTACTTCTTCGTCAGACGGTGATCAATCTCAAGTGGCAAGTGATTCAAAAACGGATGAAGATAGACAAGATGGAATGATCAGTTTCAATGAAAACAAATATCCTTTTGATTCTATTCTATACAATTGGTTAAATAGCGTGATTAAACAAATTACACCATTGCAAAGTATAAAAGAACAAATTAAATGTTTAGGGGAGTAAGTAAATTGAAAGTGATTATTCATTGAAATTTTTGAATATTTAATTTGTTCATTTCATTTACCGTGTCATTATATTTGTTGGCATTTTCTTTGAATATTTTTGCTTTATGTATGGTTCATGTATTGAACTACACCATGGGGTATATTTTTAGTTTCAAATGAGCGTAACCCCCAGTGATCTTTTAAGGCTTACTGAATAAGACATAGGTATGGGTATAATATACGTACTTAAACACAGCTCGTGGTAAACACCATGATTTAAAAGCCCTGAGGAGTAGGAAATCAAGCTGCCATAAGTTTTCGGGATTTAATTTTCAACACTACATGTTGATCGACTCCTGCTAAATAATTCTCATATCATCTATTCTAAAATTTTTAAAAAGAATGGATACTGAACAAAGAGTACTCTTTTCGATAACTTCATAATCAGGTTCTGCAGTTATGCATACATTATAGTGAATGAATGAATTAGTGTTATGAACAACATTACTTGCAATTAAAAGTGTTCTCTGAGCTGGATGGTTTAGTCGCGAAGCTTTCGTCGTCCTTCCGGACAACATCTTCAGCGCCATATTTAGCACAGAGTGTGCTAAATATGGACGACGAAAGCTTCGCGACTAAACCAACCAGCTCAGAGAACACTTTTAATTGCAAATCATCCGCCTGAGCTACAAATCTTCTCTTTTATTTCAGAACAACATTACTGTTTAAATAACATCGAATCAATAATATCAATAGATTACAGTTCAGTAGCATCAACATAAAATAAGCTGAATGTCAGAAAAATAAGGAAAGATAACACTACAAATGCATGAGTTTATAGTCTCTACTGAAGGCCAGGGCAGTAGTAGGGGCTGGATTTGCTTCTATTGAACACAGAACACTGGTTGTTTGAGGCGAATTGCAATAGCCTCTGCTATTTGCAGCATGAGGTGCTTCGATGATTTTGGCAATTTATTAGGCACCCGGTAGATTATAGAGAATGATTCTTCAACGCTGGCTGGCTTTGTGGCCGGTTTGTACCAGATGGTCCAACATCGAACTATTAATGGTTCTCGAGCATGAAAAATCAAGTTCCCAGAGCAATGGCCGATATAACTCGCCCCACAAGCGCAGTTGAATTGGTAGATACAATTTGAAGTGGCTAGTCTATGTACTTCATCTTTCAGTCGAGGTAGCACCATCGGTCGTGTAGACAATAATATGTATAGTTCGCCAGCATTAAAAGTTCTTTGAAATGATTTTCTTAATTTCCTCGTAATTATCGCACTTGGTATATCGCCCTTGAATTGCAATCGTATGTATAAAGGCTTTTTGTTTACGGATAGTGAATAGTCCTTTTCCGCTTTCTTTGTAATGTGTTTCTTGATAAATTTGTCGGGATATCTATTTTTTATCAAAGTATCATATACAATGCTTAATTCACCTTAAGTTACTTCTGAGCATATAGGTCTAACTCTGTGAATGAGGGTTTTCACTAAATTTCTTTTGTACTTGTTAGGAACGAAGCTGTGAAAATGTGTATATTGTCCTGTCCAAGTACTTTTTCTATGCAAATTTCTTTTTATGCAACCATCCGGTTTTCTTGTAAGGAGGACATCCAGGAAGGCAATTCTGTCTTGGGATTCCTCTTCGCATGTGAATTTCATAGCCGAATGTACTTCATTGAATTCAATAATTATTGTACCCCTATCTAAATCACTATCACAGAGAATTTTCTGATAAGGTTGTTCAAAGGTCCATTTTCTAGCTTGCTTACAAAGAAATCAGCCGAAATGGGACCCAATGGGGAATCCATTGCCACCCCGTCCACTTGCCTGTAAGGCGTGCCGTCAAATTTGAAGTTTACATTCATGGTACACCTTAATAACAATTCTTTTAGGATTTCAGTACGGATGCCAATGTTTATCAACTAGTTATCCACTTGTTCACATATGTATTTAACTGTTTCTACTAGAGCTACATTTGTGAATAAAGATGTTATGTCCAGAGATAACATGGTTTTGTCCTTGATATTAATATCTTTGATTTTTTCTACGAATTCAAATGCATCTTTGACGTTATATTTCACTATCTGCTTATACAAAGGTTTGAGAATATTTGTCAGTAAACCAGAAAAGCAAAAGTTACCATCATGATAAATTACACACTTATTTTATCCTTCACTTCCTTTATTTTCTCTAAGATTCATAGCCTCGTGTTATGGTGGGGCTATCAGTAAAGACGAACAAATTACTTTAAGAAATGAATTGTCTGTCGCACAACTACGCTGTCAGTTAAATTCAAACTTGATACCAGTAGGATTAATTAAACAAGGATCTTTTCTACATCGTGCGCTAGTGTTTAAAGTGAGTTATCTCTACTTGTTACTTATGTGTTTATTTAAGGCCTTATTTAATAAAAATATATAATAATAAATATATATAAAAATATCATCACGTTTTCAATATTAGATTGTTTATTAGATGTATCACACAGTGAAACAGTATTATTTACTGGATGACGTTTCGAACACAATTCTTTATTGTTCATAACCATATCAGTTATAATCACACGACTTTGAAACTTGAGTTTTATAGTTCTCTTTGTTCTCTCCTGTTTGTCATCGCTGGGCTGGTAGAGTTTTCCAGATATTTGGGACAAGCATTCATTCATTCTTATTACATGTATTTGCAGTTGATTCGATAAACGAAGCTTCTGTTATCGATCTCTCCCTCCACCCTGCTATTACATTAGATTTTAAAACTGTCATCTTATCCCATCCTATTGTATGGTTGCTTGTAACTGCATGTAATGCTACAGCTGAACTATTCTCCAGATTTCTCGCAGTTACAAGCAACCATACAATAGGATGAGATAAGATGACAGTTTTAAAATCTAATGTAATAGCAGGGTGGAGGGAGAGATTGATAACGGAAGCTTTGTTCTACTGCTCCTACGACAAATAGGAGACAACAAAGAAAACTATGTGCGTACAGTTTAATCATTCGTAATGTTAATCAAGGGATTAAAACCTCATACATTCTACAGAGAGCTTGTAATTCAGATGATCTGGGTAGAACTATATCATGATTGTTGCGGTTTTCATTTAATATCAACCCCAATAAATGAGTGAGTTGGTTAAATCTCACTTCTCAACAAGTACTCACTAACTCAGCTTTTTGAAATTTCATTTGGGTAATTTACTTGTGCACCTTTTCTGGTTTGAGGAACAAAAGTATGACCAATCTCTTACACTTATTTACTGAATGTTTCATTGGCATGATTAGTGACAGTATACAACTTACTAGTGTGATACTAATGTGGTGAGAGCTGTCTACTAGCCAAATTGGTAGACAGTAATTTACGTCAATATTTACGTTCCCAAGATTTGTCGTGAGAAAATGTGAACAAAGATTGATTCAAAACCGACCACAGCAGACTTTGCGTAGGCGGATGCAGTTAACATATAGAGGATTTGACACTCAAAAAACAGGCACAAATAGATGAAAGACTTTACGTGAGAAACAACCAATTGGAAGACTGTGTTTGTTTGCTTAAATATCCATAGTAATGTACATGAAAATATATAAATATGCGTTGATTTCCTTAATAAATGATCTGTTGCCTGACTCTTGCCTTCTGTCGTTACACTAACACCTAAGTTTATATCATATCAGAATCAGAAATCAAAACCATATAATAAGTGGTAGCCATCTTCCTCTTAAATAGTCTGGAATCTATTGTTAACTTGTAAACCACATCTATATTAATATATAATCATATGACTGTTGGTCAAAAACTTGATCTATGATTATATTTATTGGTCTTAGTATTAGTTTCATTGACAGTAGAACGGCTTAACTATGGGGTTTTGTTAATCAGTGTGACGAAACTAAACGATAGGGTATGTCTGATGTTTCAGAAATCGCTGTTTGAAATTTTTTGTCGATCTCTTGTCGACTATAAAACAGGTTTAAAAAATCACGTTTTCGCTTTTTTGTTTTCAAAACAATTACAGTTTTTTGCTGACAGAATCGGCCTACCGTCTAATTTAGTACGTGGAACGTATGGACGTTCTTACAATGAAGTACTTTTGAAACCAGAAAATACAGTAAGTTTAATTATGTAAAAATATTTATACACTACTTTGATTGAACACTAGATAATAAGTAATTAGTGTTGTGAGTCTAGGCCTTTGTTTAGTGTAGACTTAATTCTACAGTCAAGTTTGCAGTGTGGCCATCATGTTGGTAGCTCGTCATCTTGGTGTACTCTGAATTGTTCTTATTATTAGATGGTTGGAGGCAATCGGCAGGAAATCTTGGACCTAGGTTTTGTGCTGGTGGCAGGATTAAATGTATGACACTAACTACCTACTACCTAGTGTCGAGTCAAAATATACAATACAGTTCTACAGGAGACCAATCACGATCTAGAATAGACAAGTGTTAACGTCTCTGACTGCAGCAATGAGTCACACAGGTTCGAATCTCAGGAGGAACATGAGTTCCCTCAAGACTGCAGATACGCCTTGCTGACGAGTGCTGACAAGCAAGAAACCTAGGTGCAAGGCTTCCTGTCACCTGCTTCCAACCATCTAATTATATTTACAAATTACTAAATTGTTGTACGTTACATAGTGCAGATCGTGTTTTATGACTGGTAATATTGTAAATTGCATAAATAAAATAAAAATACATTCATAGATCTTTTATTTTTTTAACACATTTCTTTGCCAGAAGGCACAACTTTATTAGTGGTAGATATTCGCAGTTCTTACCAACAAGCCGAGTTTTCGCAATATCCGACTTCAGAATATCAGAAGCTACAATATCATATACGTAAAAAGTTTTTAGTCAAACTTCAAACTGAAATCATGCGGAATCTAAGTTGATTAAACCAGTTTAAGCTTAAATCGAAAATTGTTTAGTTTCGTCCCAAGTCGTAACTTCACCAACTGTGCTCCCATAGGAAAAATTACTCGATCATTTATAAGGCAGAATCAACAATAGATAGCCCAAAGAATTTTTGCAATAGAAAATTAATTAAATGAACTGAGAAAGGTTAATCGGAAACCTAAAGTTGGCAGAAATGCAAAAAGCTCTAGAAAGCAAAAGTAAAGAGGCAGTTCACAAATGAATCATGGAAGACAATCGGCTAGTCAAATGTTACCAGTTAGGCAATAAGGATCTTATGCGTAAAAAGAATGACACAGAGGTAGATCAACACGAAGAGTACAAAGAAACTCAGCACAGTCGAAATGCATGACGTCATTCAGTGCCTTACAGTTAAATCATCACCCGTCCTATCTTGAAAGATCTACACAATACACTTGTTTCGCACCATATACGAAATTTCAGCCGTGTCTTCGCTATCTCTAATTTATCAAAAGCTGTGCTTTAATAATACATAACGTTAAATCAGAGGGCACAAGTGTAGACCTATTATTATTATTATATCCTTTAATTCGTAGAGGAACATAGGGCTTCAGCCGTGCATCTCTATTGAGTTCGGTTCTCTGCTAGAGTCTTCACCTGGCTCCATGTCTGCCCACACGTTTTCATCTCCTCTTCACATGACCTCCTCCAAGTCACCCTTGCACTGACGACCAACTCGCCGCTTCCCTTTCGGGTTCCACTCGAGCAATGGCTTGTCTAGTGATGTCACTTGATGCATTGTTTTCTCAGAGTATGGCCAATCCATCTCCATTTCTTCCTGCCTATTTGTTTCACAGTCGGTTCCTGGTTGGTTCGCTCATTGCCAGAGATCTCCGTTGTTGATCTTTTCTCACTTGCCATCTGATCTTGAGAATTGGGAGAAGACAACTGTTAATGAAGGTCTGTAGTCTGTTTGAGGTGCTCTTTATGACGCGCCAAGTCTCTGATCCGTATAGTGAGTAGCACTGACTTCACATTGGAGTTGAAAATCCGGATCTTATTTTTGATGCTGAGTGTTGTTGACCTCCACACAGACTTGAGAGTAGTGAAAGCTTGTCTTGCTTTTCCGATTCTTGCTTTGATATCCTCTTCAGTTCCGCCTGTAGTTGAAACGATGCTTCCCAGGTAGGTGAAGGAGGTTGTTTCTTTCAGGTTCTTTCCATTTATGCTGATTGCTGTCTGTTGTTTTTGTTGCTGTTGGTGGTGTTGCCCGGGAATCTTCATCACCTCTGTTTTCTCTATGTTCACCTGAAGTGTTGTCCTATCTTTGATGCTTCTTCTGCCAACTTGTTGCTTTTCGCTTGCATATCTTCCAGTTTTTTCTAAGTGTAGACTTAGGATCATTTATTAGTAGCAATGCAGAATTTTAAAGCACGCATAACAAGATACTTGAAAACAAATGTTCAGCTCCACAGTGAAAACTAATTACAACAGTGAATATTTACCAATAATAAACAAAGTCAATCTGGACAGAAGTTTCATACCGATAAATTAATTATTCGTAGAAAATTTTAGTCGGAGTTAAAAGAGGGAAACACTACCTACAGGTTTTGTACTTGAAGTATACTGATTTTGTGAGTTTACTGTAAACTGAACTTTCTGCATTTGAATTTACATTCATTTTCATTTATTTTAATCACTAAATTAATTAAATTTATTTTGAATTTTCTAGAATTCCAAGTTGCATAAAGACTTATATATTGTCGATTTAATGTTTGAACCAGGAAAATTATTGAAAGCGTCTACTAGTGAAGCATTAGAATATATTAGTATCGCCTGTTAACAGAATTTATGAATTTATATTACTTTATTTAAATTCATGCATACTTTATTCCTCAGTTCATATTAAGCACACCTGAATAATGCATTACATAATTTGTGTATTTTATTACGAAATAGATGCAATAGTTAATGATAAATTTGTTTTGATTTCCATACGTGGAGTTTTACTGATACATCTAGTCATCAGTACACAGTTTTAAGCGTGTCAAACAACTGATATGTAAACGTTTAGGGAAAATGAAATAATAAGTACAGACTTCGAACCATTTCTATTCCCTTACATGCGTGCATCTCTAATCGATTGTTAAATAGCACAGTTTTCAATTGTGTGCGTCGGTGGAACAGTGGTTAGGACTCTCGCTGATCATGCAAATGGTCCGGGGTTCGATCCCCCGCCGATGCACACCCGATATCTATGGTCGGCCTGCAAATTCGGGCTACCGATATCCATGCCGAAAATTCCATACTTGTACTAAAAATATGGTGTGGAATCAAGCTGTAATCAAAATAAAAGAATTCAAAAAATAATATTAATTGGAAGTTTACTGCTGTCCAACAAACAGTATTTGATCATACACTTCTAATTGCTGTAAAATGAGGATTATTTATGAATGACGTAATACGCTAACTTCACTTCGAAGTATATCAACTGGCTTATCAGCGCAAACATGTCAACCGAGTTAATATTTTTATTACAGATGAACAAATCATTCAAAACAGATGTTAATTACTGACAAAACGGAATCTAATAAAGCTATAAGTTCCGATAGAAATTTTCGGTTGAATAGATGTTTATTTGTTTCGAGTTTAAAATTCATAATCTACTCTTTGCTCCATCTACTTCGGTTGAGTTATCAATTAATTTCACAATCCCTCACCTACTACATTTGATCGTAAGTTTAGTTTATAAACCTTCACAAGGTAGATAAGTTTTCTTAATATTAATAACATCATTATATACACACCTTGTAACATAGAAACTTAGAGATATTAGCATTTAAATAGGAGTCAGTCGCAATAAAATAGGGACCAGGAAGTTGACCAGTAAGATGAAGATAAATAAAAAGATTATAAGAATAACCGAATAGACCAGAAAAGGACTCACTTCATTATGAAAATTAAATTAAATTTAACTGGAGCCTGAGACCCTATGCTCCACTGAGAATCCGAGAGATGAACAATAAAAAGTGTCATGGGGTAGAAAGTTCATTTACGTGGACAAACTGACAGGTTATACATCAACTAAAGTTTTCAGCATGTGAAACTGGCTATGATTCAGTCTAGAAGCAACGCAGAAGGAGGAAAACATGTTTCAAGGTTATGATAAAATATGCTGATATTCAACATGTCGGCTAAAATTGGAGAATGACCCACTTAAAAATACAGTAAAGGAAATCCCATTTTGCTGCAAATATATGGACAGTACTCATACATAAAAATAAGTCGATACTGAAATCCTTCTCAAAAAGCTCACCCAGAAATAGCCTTCATATGTAAGACGAAGAAAGACGATACCTTATCACTCCTCGATATTCTGCCAACAAGGAGGACAGACTGTAATATTAATCAGTGTATTTTACCGAAGAAGTCAAGAGTTGGTCGATGCACGCATTTCATATAGTTTGTTCCTACTGCATACACACGAAACCTCACCAGTACTTTGATGTTTCGTTCTGTGGAAATCTGTACAACTGATAATTCAGACGATGAAATAAGGAAAACGGAAAAATCATTAAATGAGAATGGATATCCGAAAAAATTCGTGAAATTTTCCATGGTGAGATCAGAGAGGAATGCCCATAAACTATGTATAAGCAATGGATATACATACGACTTCATGACTTAAATTGCAATGCAGCTACTGAATTACTGGGACTGGAATTCATAAGAATAGATAAATTATTCTTTGTCTCAACAATATGTTTAAAATTTACCAGCCGCTGTATAGTTCTAATGCACTAGAAAAGCAAGCTATGGAGTCTACTCCTTTCTGTGCGCATTTAATTTAACTTCTTTCATGTTGACGGGGTTGTAGAAAGAACTAATCGGCAACTCACCGTCGCCTTCTCCAGCATTTTCCGATGTGGCTAGAAAAGTAAATGATAAAGTCAATCAGTAGGTCCATATTGGCACACCTAGTTGGTACGAAACACAAGATTGATAAATATTCAGCCCTTACAGTCCTATTCAAAATGCCAATCCAATTCTGTAGATTTGCCAGGCATAAGTGAGATAGATGTCATCAAACCTTTTAGGCCCAATCCGTATATTCATAAAAGTTTTTCTAATCCCTCTTCCTCCCATAACCTCCTCCAACCTGGAGTAGTTTTCTTCTCTAGTGACACTAGGCAACTGCTAGTGTTATCCTTATTTGTAATGTAATCTTCATTATTATACTGTGTTACAGTTGTATATTCTAAACTTACCTTTACAATATATATTATAAAAGCAAACACTCATTCCCTATGAGACAGCAGTTGTTTTCCCCACTACCCCTACAAATATACGTGTTCTGCTTAGAGATTCACAATGACTGACCGCCAAGATTATATAAAAACTTGCACGAATTTATCAGTTATTATTATGATAGTCATCTTGATTATTATCCCCTGATTTATATTTCCACCTCTAATATCAGTGACCGAAGACAAAAACATGATCTGCTCCATTTATTAGACCTTTCCGTGTACTAAAATTTATGGAGTTCCGTCGGCTCTTTTCATCAGGTCATCCGGAAAACTGATGTTATTACTTTTCTAATTTCCCACTGCCAACAAAATTATTCAGACAAAAATAAAATCTCACCAACAGTGCCTCTTCCTTCTAGTTTGTCCCTACAAATAGTGTAAAATGTTAATGTATCTTCTATATAGTTATATATGAAATATGAAGTACCCGAAGCGTATGAAACTAGGACACAACTGGGTGGAAGGAGTGTGGCGTGTTGTACTGATAATATTTATCAGTAGTATATATAAGGAGATGTTCATTGCCATAAAAACGTCAAATATCAGGGAGATAGATTTGACGTCAGAGAAAGCAAACGATACATCATTGCAGAAATACATGGAAGACGTGAAAGGAACACAAAGAAACACAATATGGAGTCTAGAAGTAGCACAACACGGAAGATCTGCACAAACAGTGAGCTGAAGATAAGGTGTACATAATTTGGCTATATAAAGATAAATAATTGTAAATAAACATTCCTCACCAAGTCTGTCGTCTTCTACCGTTATAGGGGGAAAAAGAGGACAATTCCAGAAAAATGTGATGAATGGGATCATTTGTAAGGATGGGTAGAAAATGCTTATATTCCTCAGGCTACTTAAATCTTGTTAGTAGTTTGCCTAGTACAACATAATTCCACGTCCTCATTCACGTGAGAAGATAATGGTCCTTATCAATTATTTCAAATAGACTTCATAAAAGTGTCATGTAACGAGCACTTTCTGATTCATTCGCTGCTGTATATTACTGAGACGAATGCTGGTACATTTCACTGTACTTCATCATTCAACCCAAATATGGATTACAATGGTGATTTGTGCAGTTTTATGTGAGCACGGTTGTTACGTATATTTTCGTTACATATGTTATTAAGAAAACTTAGAAATCCCCATATTGTAATCAGAACAAGATGATTTTGAGTGAACAGTTGTTTTTGATAACTTCTTCTTCAGTCTCCATAGTTATAAATCCATGAATATTGTGATACAAATAGACATTAAAGGTATGTGAAAATTATATCAGAAACTGTATTGGGGCACATGTATAATATGAGATCAAAGTTCGTTATTTAATCTTGTCAAATGACGTATACAAAGCGCACAGTCGCCTAGAACATAAGATAAAATGTGAATAGACAAATGGGTGACATACTAATGTATTATAGTCAGCAGAATATAAGTTTCATTAGGGGGTGGGTTCTATCCAGTGGTTTGCGAGGAAAATGATTACCACAAAATAAATACAAACAAATACCAGAACATGTGGAACACTGAATGTAAGTTCAGGCAAGAGCTGACAGATATCACGTGTAGCGATAAAATAAAGAGGTTAAATTGTGGACTGTAATGTAACACAAGAGATATAATAAGCTTGGTGTAATTACAGACAATTGACATACAATAAGAATAATAATGGAGTAAAGTAAGCTAGGAGAAAAGGAATAAGAAAGGTATAATATGACGTGAAAGTGTGGATGATTATGCCTTCGCAGCCCTTATATTAAACCAGGATAAACAAAGAGGATGTTTGTGCTTCTTTTACAAACATAGGTCGGGCTTTTTCTTATTTTGCGTCGGTGGCACAGCGTTTAGGACTCTCGCCGACCATGCACATGGTTCGGGGTTCGATACCCTGCCGACGCAAACCTGATATCTATGGTCGGCCTGCAAAATTTGGGCTACCGATATCACATGCAGAAAATTTCAAACCTGTACCGAAAAATACGGTGCGGAATCAAGCTGTAATCAAAAATCAAAAAAAAAAATCAATCTCCATAATTCCGCCATAGCTAATCTTAAGCCTTTAGGCAGACTGTTATTGAAACGATTATATGTTTAGGGAACTGATATTAGGTAATGTGGCTCAAAAATGTAGTTGTCAATTTCAATTTTAACGTGTTGTACCGCTGCGTCAATAACTTCTGGTCTGTTCTGCAAAATCTTAATTTGCAAAATGCTGTACCATGCAGTTAAGTGGTATATAAATCCGTCAGTCTCCACACTTCACAAACTAAGCTATGGAAGACGGATTTCCGATTTCTGTTGTAACAGCATATTACAGGGACATTTGGTTGCAGGGTACTTTATTTGCAAAATAACGTGGTGATGGCAAATTATAAGACCTTACAAAAGGACTTCTTTTTGAAGACGTCATGAGTTTTCCGCTTATTTCACCCATTTCAGAGTATCCAATATCCAACATCGTTTTTACGAGATTCAACGCACTATTTTGGAACAGATGGCCGAATAACGTCACAAATTAGAAACTTTT